TCTAGGTCAAGCCAGAGTAGATGGCGCGTTCTGTAACTACACTGAGCAGGATAAGAAAGAGTTCCTACAAAGCGCATATGCTCAGGGAGTGCGAAATATGGAGATGGAGAGTCTGTGTTTTGCTGCTACCCTGCACCATGCCGATATAAAATGTGAGTCTTGCGAGATTAGATACGAACTATGTGGTGTAAACTATTGTGCTGATTTCTTTTGAGTAAAATACTATATACGGTGTGCTCAATTTTCACCAAAGTTGAGTTGAGCTGTTCCTATGGGATGTAATAGTATGTAATACCAATATTATTATTAACAATAGTAAATACTAGTATGTAAGTGAAAGGTATTAATTACATGAGCCTTACAAAATTTTACTAATCTCGACAGTGCACAAAACCTTATAAAATTATCAATCTTTGGAGTGATTTCTGCAAATGACTATTGCACTTGGTTAACAGCCTGCAATCCTGTTTCTGTGGTCGCTCCTCCCTTTTCTCACGCAGCTGTTGTGTAGCATTCTATACTATGTTCAATTCCTGCATATATGTCAAGATTTTGCATTTCAATTGTGTGACGGCCATGATGCAAATGAAGTTGTGTAAATTCTAGTGCCGTGAGAATAAATTAATTTTCGAAGAACTGTGAAAGAACCGAATTTCTTTCGAAAACAATGAGTAAAGGTTTTACAGCAAAGCTATCAAAACATCTGTCATGATTCAGTGTCTTCTTTAATGTAATTAGTCGGTATACATCTCTTCCAGGTGCTGTCGTGTGTGTCACACTGCTGGACCGTATGCATGGTGACCAGATATCTATGTCGCATGATGAGTATGAAGAGTTTCAGGTTCGCCCTCAACGTGTGGTGGCCCGCTTTATGAGACGCAAACTTAGGTTGGGCTCACAGGCAAGCTGCGATGAATAAATGCTGCTATGCTTAAAACGTGTTCATTACTATTTATCAATGGTACACTCTTAAACATTTTTCCGTTATTTCTAGAGTATATTGAACTACGAAATTCAAACATGATTTCAAGATTATTTAGCTTAAAATGAATATAAATGTTGTTTAAAGGTATCCTATAACCAAATTGCTACAATATTAGTCAGTGTGTGTGTGCGTGCGTGCATGCGTTAGTGTGTGCGTGCGTGCGCGTGCGTACATGCGTGTGTGCGTGTGAGCGTGTTCGCGCACTTGTGCGTGCACGGTTATGTAATTATGTATGTATGTATGTACGTACGTAAGCACGCACGCACGCATGCGTGTGTATTATCCAATATTATCAGAATATCAATATTATCAGTAAATAGATGTAATTTTTAATTACCACACTAAACACGTTTTATTTCACCTTCACCATCATTGAAGGGCGAAGATTTTCATTTGCTTCCCTTAATCGTGAATCTGCCGTGCCTGCCTAATTGTTTATGTCGAGAGGTATCATTGTAACATTATTCATGAATCTTGTTGTAACCAGATGTATGTTATTGCGTACTTGATGTACATTTTCTAAACGTTTGTTACTTAAATTTAGTAATTTATTGTGATGTAATTTGTCACATTACATTCATGCTTATTGGTTACACCAGTTTACTATAGATGCTTCAAGTTAGTCAACAGCCTAGAAACCCTATTATACACAATTGCTTTATATGGTATTTGCTACTGCACTATGTGGTAATATCCTTAGTTATTTTCATTTTGTGGGTTATAGAGCAGTCATTAGTCAACATATATGATGTTGATAAGGCTTTCTGTGTTAGGCTTCAGTATTCGGGCAATCCTATTTGGTTGCTCATTAAGATTAGTGAACGCTTGACCAAAGTGTGTTTGAGGCGTGCATGTAGTTCTCAGGAGTGAAGGTGCCGCCTCTATGTAATTGCCCTGGCGTATATGTGTTATTCTGTGCATACTGCAGTCTGTATGTAGGTACTTCTCACATACTTCATTATTGTTCATTGTGCTGGATAGTAGTAATAAAGTAGGTGATACTGCAAAAATATATTGTGGAAGAATTTTGCTACTTTCTCTATTCATTAGCTGTTCCGTATCTTTAAACGTGTACCTCCCATCTTACGATACACTGATAGTCTGATACACGGGTGAATCCCAGTGTCCCGTAATACGTACGATGCACGCCTGACCTGCGTGCTACTACACAACGATGCACGCCGTGCGTTCTGCAACAAACTATGCACCGTATGTACTGCGTTACAACAATACGCCACGGAGGTGGGGCACGCGGAATCATTGCGCGAGCGCGCAGATAGAACAGATTTTTGTCAGAACGTATGTTTCCTCTTA